CAGGACCTGGATTCGAGCTCAGTTTCCGACCAACACAAAAAAAAAAATAGATTAATTAAAAATAGATCTATTCTCGCCGAATTTCGTCAAAGAAACCTCGTCGTCACTTGTTTATCCATTCTTTGGAGTAGAACTACAAATCACTCAGTTATTCCAAAATATTTAATCCAGAAGATTTTGAGATTCGGCTGCCCTATATATGTATGTATGTGAATATGGTCACCGTAATCATCAGTGACTGAGTGGTGAATAAGTACAATCACCGATAAAAAACCAGTGTTAAAAATAAATAGAGACCACGAATACATATGTATTTATAATTGCCAGTACAGCAAATTCTTATCGTACAAACAGGCATATATATGTACATATGTACATACATACATACATATGTGTGACGAAACCACCATGGCTTGAAGAGTGTGTGTGAAGTGTTCCGTGTTTTACCAACAACTTTTTCCGCACCTGTCTAGCAAACTTTTTAGACAGAAAATGCGTGCACTTTTGTGGTAATAAACAAAGTGTGCCATTTATCAGCGTTAATACGAGTGCATACGCTAAGAAAATAGTAACATGATTTTTTAAAGCAGAGTCTCAGTATGGATGCCTTGCTCAAATGCTGTAGTTGTAATTTAAAAAAATCGATTCCAATGAGAAATACATCGCTTCAAAGAAACAATTCCAACCTCATCGGCAGGTTCCTTTTTTTATAAGCAATCACATCATTTTATGTCGCAGAAACAACGATAAATATTGGTTTATAGTGGGATCAAGTTTGAGCCTTTAAAAAGCTTCAACAACTTAGGTTTTGCAGATATAAATGAAATTTTTGGAAAATACTTAAGTTCTTTAGAATAATAGAAATATTATTGTGTACAAATGCAATCTAAATTTATTTAGAATTTTGCATGTTAAAGGAAAAATTGATGAAAAATTAGCTAATTTTTGATTACTAAAGCGCTGGAAAATCGCTCCAATGATGAAACGGATCATCAACTCATAAGTTTGGAATTGATTCGGGAATTAATTGCAGTTTTCCGAAATAGTCTCTAAGGTTAATTCTCAAAATTAATGCGGATCAGGGGCATTTTCGATGACGTCACCAAAACTCATTCGAATAACTTTTGTCCAACTCTGCGCGGTGGTCAATTGGTTAGAGCTGCGTGCTACAACTTAGTTTTATTTTATTTTGTTTTATTTATTTTATTTAATTTTATTTTATTTTATTTTATTTTATTT